TTCCTTTCTTGAACTCATAAAGCATTATGTGCCTCAAATGATTCTTGGGTACTTCTATGTTAGCAGGGTTTTAATCAAACAAAATTTAATTTTATTGTTCTCTGAAAAATTGATCAGTTTAAATGCATCTAAACATAAAAATAATGTTCAGCTCCATTAGACATTATAAAATACTCTTTAAATTTCGTTCATTTTAACAAAAAGTTAATCTTCGGACAGAACTTATGGCATAACCTGATATACAAGCATATCGAATCTAAAGAGAGGGGCTTATTGAAGGTCCCATTAAGACCTTGATATAAAAGAAAACTGGATTTAAAGAGTATGGCTTATTCAAGGTTATATTGACTAAACACATTGGATCTAAAGAGTAGGGCTTATCGATGGTCTCACGGATTCATTATAAAAAAAAACTTTGGATCTAAAGAGTAGGGCTTATCGATGGTCTCATGAATTTATTATAAAACACATTGGATCTAAAGAGTGGGGCTTATTGAAGATCTCATGAATTCATTATAAAAACATTGGATCTAAAGAGTGGGGCTTATTGAAGATCTCATGAATTCATTATAAAAACATTGGATCTAAAGAGTGGGGCTTATTGAAGATCTCATGAATTCATTATAAAAACATTGGATCTAAAGAGTGGGGCTTATTGATTGTACCATTAATTCGTTTTGTATAAGAAAAACATATTGAATCTAAAGAGTAGGGTATATTAAATGTCTCATTAATATAAAAACACATTGTATATAAAAACAAATCTTATTGAAGGACTCATTAATATTATTAATATACAAATATAAAGCTATGAGTAACAATCGGATTGAATGAACTGAGATCAATAAATCGATAACTGCTTTCGATTGATCATCGTTTATAATTCCCGACATTTATGGCTTTGTGGTGTTTTCAAATATTTACTTATAACTCGTAGAATCGTTACATTTCTTTAAAGATTCAACTTTTTATAAAGGGACTGCTTACTACTTTTTGAGGTTTCCATGCAATTTTTTAAATTACTTCGAATTTATTCGACAGTGCCCGTAAATGAAATCAATTCTTTGCTTCCCGCCTTACGTAAATTCATTTGATGCTTACAATATACAATTTGAAAGCAAAATCATCATTTCAACTTTGCATACAAAGCAAATAAATGATACACTAGAATCAAACATATCTCTTGACTCTGTGTTATTCGGTTACACAATTCTTTTTGACGTTGTGCTAAAAAAGATCTTAATAACATTTTAATGCAAATGTTTCGTAATGCCTTTGTTTAGAATGTGCAATTAATTCCGTACCAAGAAACTAGCCGGGTTGGAAAAAGAACCGATTGCATTTGTTGTATTTTTTTTTAAATATTTAGATAACTGTAATTGATGCCTTTGGATATAGACATGATTCAAACAATCAGGAGAAAAAAAAATAACATTAACATTTTTAAAAGTGCTATCAATTAGGTCCTTTATTTCGACTTCGATAAAAAAAAGAAAAAAAACAACAACATTTACACGCCATCACGAAAAGACGTAATTTAGCTATTTAATTTTTTTTTTAATTTACCGTTTGATAATAAGCATATCCACTAGTTTTTCCTGCACCGGAGAGCGTCTCCTTTTCTCTAAAACATACAAAAATTTCATCAGCTGACACTTGAAGTTAAAGGATATGTCGTGTTGATCTTTTAAGGAGGTCCGATTCAAAGGATGACCTCTTCTTTGTCCTTCTTTCATGCCTGAGCCATGTTTATTTTGCTTTTAAGTAAACGGCTTTCTAATTAAGTTACCGGAATGCTAAAGAATTCAACCCCCAAAAGTGTTTGCTAAGTTCCTGACATGACGATTTTGCTAAGTTCCTGACATGACGATTTTGTTGTCCTTTTCGTTGGAGAAAAGAGGGTAAAAAATAACCCCCAAAAACAAAACAATCAAAAGAGTATTAAAAAGAATTATTTCCTTTTTTTTGTTGATTGAGCTTCACTTCTCCATTTTTAAATGTTCATCTCAACCGAACACCTTCAGAGTTTTTCGGTTCTTGACATTCCTTTATGAGCATTATTTCTCTTCCCACACGATGGCTGCCAAATCCTTAGACGAGTATCTCCACTGCTGGCAAGTTCTTTCTACGTTTATGGTTTACAAGATTTAGAGTTGTCCTTTTCCTAGACTTGTGGCCAACCACAGCTAGAAAGCTCAGTCAGCCCTATCTTTTTTTACTCTGATCGTTCTGATAAGGAAAGAACTCCCGAATTTATTTGTGAGGGCCTCAAACTCAACATGGAGGCCTACATCAAGTATCTTGAGGAGTTAGTGCTGCCCTAGATCAAGAAGTTGGCTGTTAGAAAAAAAAACAAATGTCTGGTGACAGGACTCTGCACCATGCTACACAAGCAGGAGAACCTCGGTAATGGCTGTCAGACAATTTCTGCAACCATGACACTCCTTACATGTGGTCCTATATCTCCCCAGACTGCAACACCCTTGATTATTATGTGTGGGATGCAGTTGACAGACAGACCAACAAAACTCCTTGTAACACCAAAGATGAACTGAAAGCAAGGATTATGGCAGCATTCACCAACTTAAACGAGGAGACCACTCAGAAGAGTTGCAGAAGATTCCAAGGTCGTTTGGAGGCCATGGTTGAAGCCAATGGCGATATTATTGAAAAAAATTAATCTTTAGTATTTCAAGATAATTTTGTGCAATTTTGGTAAATATATCTGTTAAAATGAGATGTCAGTGTTATTTTCAGTTTTGTGTAATTTAGACGACAATTTATCCATCGAGCGCGCGCGCACGCGCACACACACACAAACACACATACATATATATATATATAATGAACTCTCCCGTCGGTTTCGACGTATGAGGATCTGACAGCTTAGTTGATTCAGTTATTAAATTTTGTGCGATAATCTTTAAGTATTTAAGACCCGCTAGTGATTTACAAAGGAGGCCACATATGGAGCAAGTGTGAGGATTGTGAGATGAAATCACTGTTAGATTGACTGACCTTTTAGATCTTGCTCTCGCTTCTTGAAGATGATTCAGACAAGCAGATTGAAAACAGCTGAGTCCACTAAAACACGTTGATCTCCATTCTACCCGCTCCAAGGCTAAGCGGTCAAGGGTGTTATGTGGTATATTGACTGCTGCCAAGTTGCTTTTTAGCTTGTCTTTGTATCTTAGCCATGGGCATCCTACATTCCTGTAGCCCTGATCTAACTGGCTGTACATTAGGATCTTGGGTATCCTGTCATCAGACATTCTCAAGGCATGACCACTCCACCGTAACTGAGACTGTATGAGAAAAGTCTCGATTCCTCCAATATTACACTTGTTAAACTGGTTTACGTTAGATGTTCTATCTTGAAGGTTAACTCAACATATATATATATATATATATATATATATATATATATGTGTGTGTGTGTGTGTGTGTGTGTATTTAGCCAGCAAATTCTCTTTTAGGCATGTATGAATGAATAAATTACAGACATTATGTTTGCTAATTTTTAATAAAATCTGTTCATACTCACGAATAACCATCCGATGTTAATGGATGAGAGAAATGCGCTATATCTGTTTAAATTTATTTTATTTTAATTATAACATAGAGGAAAAAATTCCAAAATGGATACTTTTTTACCTTCTAATGAACGCTCGGCATATTGTCAACCATTTTGCATTTAAAAGCATAATGAAAAAATTACGGTAATGGATAACAACGCAAAACTTTGTATAAATACATGTACTAATGAACAAGATATAGTTTTGTACTACTTGCACCCCCGAAGATGATCTTGGAAGAAGATCGAAAGTACTTGAGAAATGAAAATAAAAGAACTTTAAACAGCTATAGCATATTTCCCTCATCCTTTAACATCGATACACGGAAGGTTATTCGTGAGTATGAACGGATTTTATTAAAAATTAGCAGACACAATGTCTGCTATTCATTCAATCATGCCTAATATATATATATATATATAATAGAAGAAGACTCTTTGGTAAATCGAATAGAGTTCTCTCAGTCACTATGTGCTTATCTAAAAATAAATACGCTTAAATTCACCTTCATCTCTGCCAAATGGCTTAGTGGTAGAACCCCCAACTGACGCCAATTCAGTCGTGTTTCGATCCCAATTAGAGGCAACCGGACGTCTAGTTACGGATGAGCTGTGATACAGCGAAACAGTCTGTCTGTGGATGACAACATATATATATATATATATATATATATATATATATATATATATATATATATATATATATATATATATATATCAAGGCCATGCAACTGGTACTTGAGATATTCAACGTGACTAGATACTTTCTGAGTAGACTTCATATGTGTCTCTGTGCTTTGATGTTTGTATTCACACACATGCGCCTGTACAGATTCACATAGACTTTTCAGATAAACCCAAGCGGTAAATAAAAGTAAACATTCATAAAACGTTTACGTTGCAATAAATGTCTAAGAGAAAAAAAAAAGTACAAAATGAAAACCCTGAAGCCAAACAACGAAAAGTTTATAAATCGAGTGTCTCCCTTGCCAACAGCATCCAGACACACTGGCCGTTGGTATCCGACGTTGGCAAGACTACAAAAGTTCGACAAAAGTAGACGTTTACTTATAAACATTACGATGATTCTGGATGACAGGAAGAGAAAAACAATTATGTCGAAAACCAAACGGAAGCAGCAGATATTTCTACAGTCATTATTTTATGGACATTTATAGAATTAAAATAAATAAAATTTGTCACTTCGCTGATTGATGTTATATTCAGGACCTCATCTCTATAGAACTTGACGTAATCGCAGTATCTTTTCTTATTCACTCCTGGTTTTGCTTCTTTTTAGTTTAAATGACAGACGTTCTGTGAAACAGTTGCGTTTTACACTTTGTTTGCTCAGAATAAAAAAGAAGTATTGAGATTGACTGTTTATTAAAATAAAAAATTATAAATTAGATAGATATGAACAGACTGAGATAGATATGAATAGACAGAGATAGATAATGAACAGACTGTGATAGATAGATAGATAGATAGATAGATAGATAGATAGATAGATAGATAGATAGATATAAACAGACTGAGATAGACAAAAGTAGACGTTTACTTATAAATATTACGGTACTTCTGGATGAAAAGAAGAGGGGACACAATTATGTCGAAGACCAAAACGAAAGCAGCAGATATTTCTACAGACATTATTTTATGGACATTTGTAGAATTAAATTAAATAAAATTTGTCACTTCGCTGATTGATGTTATATTCAGGACCTCATCTCTATAGAACTTGACACAATCGCAGGATCTTTTCTTATTCACTCCTGGCATTGCATTTTTTTTAGTTTAAATGACAGACGTCGCGCTTCAAACTTACTTTGCTCAGAATAAAAAAAAGGTATTAATGTTTATTAAAATAAAAATTTATAAATTAGATAGATATGAACAGACTGAGATAAATAATGAACATATTACGATAGATAGATAGATAGATAGATAGATAGATAGATAGATAGACAGACAGACAGACAGACAGACATGAACAGACTGAGATAGACAAAAGTAAACGTTTACTTATAAACATTACGGTGATTCGGGATGAAAGGATGAGGGGACACAATTATGTCGAAGACCAAAACGAAAGCAGCTGATATTTCTACAGACATTATTTTATGGACATTTGTAGAATTAAAATAAATAAAATTTGTCACTTCGCTGATTGATGAAAGTATCGAGATTTACTGTTTATTAAAATAAAGTTTATCAAAATACTAATTCGCTACTTTTATCTTCGCTGACAGCGAGATGATTAAATTTCAATTCTAAATTGTTTGTCCATTTAAAAATATTACTTTAATCAGAAAACATATTCAATTCAAATAAAGAAGGAGTTCTAAAAATGACTTCGCAAGCCGCACATTACGGTTTACATTCGTTTTCCTGTTACCGATACAGGGTGGGAGTTGGTTTTGTGCAGAGGTGGGCAAATTACGGCCCGCGGGCCGCATCCGGTCCGCCAAAGGCTTTTAATGTGGTACTCTATTACTTTTATAATATTCACAAATTCAATAAAAAAATTTCCGCTTATTTACAAGTTGTTTAAAACCTTTTCGGAAGAAACATTTGTAATAATTCCGCTTTTATTCGAATTTTAGTTCAAGTATCGTTTTGTAGGATATTTGCAAACGAGATTTAGTGAGAGTCGCCATTTTGCGGTGTTTTTAAAACTTGATTCTATTTTTTAGTAAGTTAGTTTCTAAAACAATGAAAAAGCAGTCACCCATAATGAGTTCTAAAAGACGTAAAGCTGACTTTGAATGTCGTATTTTTAAGAAGGAATGGACTGAAAAGTATTTCTTTGTAGAAAATGGTACAAAAGCTGTGTGATCGATTTGTCACGATACTTGTGCTGTATTCAAGGAATATAATTTAAAAAGACATTTTCATTCGAAACATGGCAACTTTGGCCAAAACTTTTCCACACAAGAACTGCAAAACAAAGCAACGAATATAATTAAAAAACTGAAACGTCAGCAAGGCATACTTTTTAAATGTACATCTACACAAGAGTTTGCAACAAAGGCAAGTTTTATATTGGCAAATAAGAACGCAAAATATAACAAGCCATTTTCTGACGAAGAATTTGTGAAAGAATGTATGATTGATTCAATTGATACTGTGTGTCCAGTTGTAAAATCAAAATGGAAGCAATTTCATTGTCACGGAGAACTATTATTCGTAGAATAGATGCCATTGCTGAAAACTTGCATGGAAAACTTTTGAATACTGCAGATAAATTCAAGTAGTTTTCAATCGTTTTAGATAAGAACACAGGCATAGTAGATACTGCACAGTTGTTGATTTTCATTTGCAGTATTAATTAAAATGTCAGGATCACAGAAAGAATGTTGTCTCTGGAGAGTCTCAAAGACATTACTACTGGGAATGATTTGTATGAAAGTCTTATGTATTGTTTGGAAAATTTGCAGTTATGCCTTGATAAATTTGTGAGCATAACAACTGATGGGGCACCTGCACTAAGTGGGACACATTGTGGTCTTGTCAAACGGCTAAATGCCAAAATTTCAGTCAAACTTCCCACTTCACAAGTTGCTTTCATTTCAATGCATAATTCACTAAGAAAGTTTTTGCAAAGCAAAATTGGATTTTAACATGTGATTGATCCAGTGGAACTTGCAGTAAATGTGATAAGATCAAGGGGGACTAAACCGTAGGCAGTTTCAAAGATCGTTGCAAGAAATGCAGTCTGATTTTTCTGATGTGTTCTATCACACCAATGTAAGGTGGTTAAGTCTTGGAAAAGTTTTGAAAAAGTATGTGACCTCAAAGAAGAGATTCTCATGTTTTTTGAAATAAAGGATGTGGCTTGTGACTTCTCACCAAAAAAAAAAAAAAATAATTGCAGAATGGCTATGTGATTTTGCACTTGCTACAGATACCATGCAAAAATGAATGCGCTCAACACAAAACTTCAAGGTAAAGGTGCCTTTGCTCCTGATTTATTTATGGAGGTTAAATCCTCTCAGGCAAAGCTTACACTTTTTGCTAAACAACTGTCTGATCAAAACTTTGCTTACTTTCCCCTTTCTGAAAGATCAGCCTGTTGAATATACACCTGCACAAAAATAACGATGGGCAGATCACAGCCTCGAAGGAAGAATTTAAATTTGTAGATTTCAAAGCAATGGAGCCGCAGTTGAACATGTTGAGGTCTCCATTCACCTCTGACATTGAAACTGCGACTAATGAACTACAAATGGAACTCCTAGACCTCCAAGCTGACAATTCTTTGAAGTAGAGATTTGAAAACAAAACTTTAATTGAATTTTATGCATCTCTTCACCCAGAGCATTTCAAAAATTTGGAAGACTTTTCAAGAAAATTGTTCTGTTTACATTCACTGACATATGTGAGCAAACTTTTTCAAAGTATGAAAATTATCAAAAGCAAAAATAGATCTCTTGACAAATTCAAATCTTCAAGCAGTATTAAGAATTAGCACAAACATCTTGGAGCCAGGTATAAGCAAACTAGTCAACAACTGCAGTAGACTACATCAATCTCATTAATTATACGCCTACTATTGTTCTTACAATATATTTTTCTTGCATTTTGTCAATTATTTGTGCCATAATACAATTTTTACATTATAGTTTGTTTGTTTTGTTTTACGGTACATCAACCTCAATGGGTCATTTAATGCCGACAACTATTCCCCCCCCCCGCCGGTAATATTTTTTTTTTGTCAAAAATCCATTTTTGTTAATATTTTTTTCTCAAAAATGTATAGCTGGTAATATTGTTTTTTCAAAAACGTATAGCTGGTAATATTATATTTTCAAAAACGTATCGCTGGTAATATTATATTTTCAAAAACGTACAGCTGGTAATATTATATTTTCAAAAACGTAATATTGTTTTTTCAAAAACGTATAGCTGGTAATATTATATTTTCAAAAACGTATCGCTGGTAATATTATATTTTCAAAAACGTACAGCTGGTAATATTATATTTTCAAAAACGTATAGCTGGTAATATCTTTTTTTTCAAAAACGTATAGCTGGTAATATATTTTTTTCCAAAAGCGTATAGCTTTTTTTTTGGTATAGCTGGTAATATATTTTTTTCCAAAAGCGTATAGCTGGCAACATTATTTTTTCAAAAACGTATTATCAGAGGCCTTGCTGTTGGACGTAGTTTATCATCATACCCAGGACGCGGATGTAGTTTATCGTCATACCCAGGACGCTTACATTATAGTAAATTGTAATTAAACTTTACAACTAGCAAGATGTTTTTAAATAATTAAGTAATCATGAAAATTTTTCACTGTTTCATGCTGCTACATTTTTCAATATACAGTCTTCAAAAGCATCTATAGACCAGTAGCCATATCCATGGTAACAATGCGGCCCACTAAGAAAAAAAAAATAATTGCCCACCCCTGATCTTGGGTATGACCTAAAACAACATCCGACAAGGGGAGAGAATTAGGGTACGTCGAACCATTGTTATCTACGGGTGATCTCTGGCTAAGATCTAGCATCTGTCTGCCCCCACCCCCTACCAGGGTTACGGTATTTATTTTTAATGTGTATGTTAGTATGTGTGTGTGAGTGTGTCTGCGTTGATATGTGTGTGCGCGTATGTAACTCATACAGCGGGAGGGTCAGGGGAAAAAGAAAAAGGAATTTTTTTTTCGGATGGGTGATTAACATGAACGAAGATGGGATAAGTGTAAGCAGAATGCGATACTTGAGCGTGTTTTCTTGTGTGTCCATGTAGGTGTATATCTGTCATGAGGGAAACAAATCCTTACTTATCGCTTCAAGCCGAGCACTCCGCCATGTTCCTTAACAGATAGAAACTGTGATTGCGTTTACTTCCTTTTTTATAGAAGAGCACACGTTGCTGGTGAACCGGAAGTTATCCAGGATTGGACCATAAATTACCAATAGAAGTGTATCGTCTGGAGGATGGAAAATATTGTAGCTAACGGAAGGTACACAAGCCGATACCTAATCAGTATCGGCTGGGTCACTGTGGAGAGGGGGTATGATGTTGAAAAACCCGAAACCCCTAATGAACCTCGGCTAGAAACATCACTAATGATGCGTAATAATGCATCCAATAGATGTATTTTATGAAATTTCCTTATCACACTTAATTTGTCATAACTGATTCAGACACCGAAGTATTTGAAGTCACAAAGTACTACCTGGGGCACTCAATGAGGGCTCAGGGATAGTACACACCAGTCCTACTATTTCTTATAGGGGTCAGTGACTCAAGCGGTCCATGACTAAAGGGGTGCACGACTCAGAAAAAGTTAAGAACCACTGGGAGACAATTACTCTTCACATACCTACACGGTGTTGGGAGAAAGTACCTCTAGTGCAGCCTATTCTATATTCAACTTGAATATGATGTTGAAAGACCCGAAACCCCTAATGAACCTCGGCTAGAAACCTCACGGATGATGTGTACTAAAGCATCCAAGAGATGTATTTCACGAATACTTTAATCTGAAAACATATTCAGTTCAAATACAGAAGAAGCCCTAAGAATAAATTCGCAGAGCCGCATATTACAGTTTATATTCGTTTTCCTGTTATCCAGACAGAAAAAGAAATTATCCCTCATGGCACAGATCTTCATTACAATTTAATTCAAATCGTCTACATACGTATATTTTAATTAAATGACAAATTTTAAAATATTTCTACAAAATTAAGAAAAAAAACTTTATAAAATAATTTCATTTATTATCGAATCAAGTTTAATAAAATATTACAATTATCTGATTTTTAGGTTTTAAAACAATAAACCGCTTTTTCGCTGAGAAATTTGTCACGCCATTTTCTCCCCTTCCATTTCAGCTATTTTCACCTGAATTCATTTTTGTGGTCATTAAATAAGAAAAAAAAGTTAAACTTAAATTAACTTTATCGTCACAAGTAATGAATTTAGCATTTATTTAGTGGCCATCTTTGTGCTATCAAGTTTTAGGTACAAATAAATAGACATGCACAGGCTGATCTCGATATGAATAATGTCGATATCATCCTGCCGATGTCTATCATATCAGTAGACATAAAGAGACTGATATCAATAGACATGAACAGGCTGATATCAATGAACATGAATAGATTGATATCAATATATAGGAAAAGACTGATATCAATGGTCATGAATAGACTGATATTAATGACCATGAACTGAGTGATATCAATGGACATGAATAATGTGATATCAATAGACATGAAGACACTTATATCAATGGACATGAACTGAGTGATATCAATAGACATGAATAGACTGATATCAATGGACATGAAATGAACTGAGTGATATCAATGGACATGAATAGTGTGATATCAATAGACAGGAATACAGTGATATCAATAGACATGAACTGAGTGATATCAATGGACATGAATAGAGTGATATCAATGGAAATGAACAGACTGATATCAATGACCATGAACTGAGTGATATCAATGGACATGAATAACGTGATATCAATGGAAATGAACAGACTCATATTAATGACCATGAACTGAATGATATCAATGGACATGAATAACGTGATATCAATGGACATGAATAGAGTGATAACAATATATAGGAATAGACTGATATCAATGGACATGAACAGACTGAAATTAATGACCATGAACTGAGTGTTATCAATGGACATGAATAGAGTGATATCAATGGAAATGAACAGAGTGATATCAATGAACATGGACTGAGTGATATCAATGAACATGAATAACGTGATATCAATAGACATGAACTGAGTGATATCAAGGGATATGAATAAATTGATATTCATAATTAGCAACAGTGAAATTATTTTTCAATGACATAATTAGGCTCTCATTGTTGATGGAAAATATATAGTCTGGAGCTGCCCGGTCTTGTCTTGTCTGTTTAGACAGAGTCCAAAAGCATCTACGTGGCTTTGTGGATGATGAATTATTTTCCAACCTACCACCCCTTTTCCTACAGATAAAACGTTGCTAGTCTCTCTCTAGTCTATCGCCATTTGCATGCCATCATATCCCATATTCCATTAGTAAGGAGTAAGTTCCACTCGATCAACTTCTTCCCAAGAACTGCTGCTTTGTGGAACAGACGCCAGACAAGATCTTTTCACGACCACTACAATCTTGATCTCTTCAAGTCTAGCGTAACCGTAATTTTTCCTACATAACCACATAAACTGCACTTCATGCCTTCTAAAAAGCTCATCTAACACCACCACCAGACAGTAACCCTCTACCTTGAGTGGCTCTTGGGTCTTATGTTGGGTGAAAATTAGTATAAAAAAGCTGATTATTTTTATTTCACAGTAATAGGAAGGATATGAAACTGTCGATACATATTTCTTTTCTGTCTTTTCTTTGTCACCCACTTTATGAATTTATTGCTCAACCCAAAGTAGAGGTTGTCCAGACTGAGTAGGAGTGTGATGTATTATTCCAATTGTGTGTATGTGTGGGCTTGTACCAAATGTAACTCGAAGAGAAAATAATGACATAATCAAGATGTTGACGTTCCTCACCACTTCAAACAAAAGGTTAGGAAGGAAACTCCCGTCAATACTGGAAAGAGCGATAACAGCTACTGGATTCGAGAAGCCTATTTTCCTGAAAAAATTGTTTTAAAGGAAAGAATTTATAAATTTCAATCGGCAGCAGTACTGACTGCTTGGTCAATAAATTCCTTATAAGGAAACGGCTAATATTACTATTTACGTGTTGATCGATTCTTTGCATGTGCGGGTGGTGTAATGGTTAATGGCTCGGAAGGAGAAATAGAAGAGCCGGGTTCGAATTTTATGCGGGCTCGTTATATTTACTTACACGCAAATACACTTGGGAAAGGCATGAATCCACCTCTTCTCCCCCAAGCTATGGGTTAATTATTAGAACTTGTGTTATTATCTTCAAAAATTGTTGATGAAAAGGATGATTGCAAAAACGAAACAAAAAGAATTATGATTACAATCCCCGCCCCACATAAATTTTTTTTCGACCGTATATAAGTTACAAACTATTCTATTAGTTTATAGCAGTCAGGGGTAAACTATGGTCCCTTTGACATTTTGAATGGCACAGCTAATTTAATGAGAAAAATAACGTTTATTAAAAATGTTGTTTTTTTGTTTCCTTCTCACTTGTTCACACACATTTTCTCTCACACCAAGAGATTCTGAGATACTGATGTCAAAGAGAAATAACTATTAAATGTTTGAGAAACCCCACCTTACTTATTAATTCCCAATACAGTTCGATCAAATTAAAAAAAAAACAAAAAAAAAAAAAAAAAAAACAGTTCGACTAAACCATATATATAACAATGATTAAGCATAATGTTTCTCGCATTTTGTCATTTTTCATTGAAGGTTTTCAACATTTTAAACCATTGGCGAATTTTATTAAGGAACACCATACGTGTAAAAATAGTTTGCTTCAGAAATTACAAATGTTCATATTTTTTTCTCTGGAGAAGATATACATTTTTTTCTTTTAAGAAGATATTTTTCTATTTTCAAACGAATAAATAAGAAACAAATCATTCACTGCAGCACGTGTAAACCATAGCGTCTTCAGTGCTAGACGAAATCTTTTCTCCAAATAAAAAAAATCAACTTTTCTCCCATTTTAAGGTAGATGCTTGTGCGTAAGATCTTCCGTAGTGAAAATGGCCGCTTTACTTTCAAAAAGTAAAAATTACTTAAAATTTTTTTATTATTACTCCGCACTTTATGATGATCCATATCTCATGCGGCCCACTGGTGGGAAAAGGTCACACATGCCTGGTTTATACCATGAATTACCACCCTAGAATACCCAAACTTTATGGTCGACCCACACAGGTATTGGTAGGGCTCCTCAGAAAATGGCGAAAGTCATAACAAAAATTTTAACACTTCTTGGAACAATCAGTCCGTAATATACTAAAAAATTCAGGCGATCTGATCAAAAGACTACGTGGAATCTTTATGTCATTTCGTTGCTGTAGTCATTCTTTCGTTTCATAACAAGATATTCGAATCAGACAAGTGACGGACAAAGAATTCCAGAAAAGTCTTCAATGGAAATATTGTTACAGATACTGAAATCAAAAGATTTTGTAACAAAGTGAAAAGAAACGAGAATAAGTCTGTGAAATAGCAATGTACCGCCATATTGCTTTGAGATGTCCAAAAATAAATTTCGAATACAAATGGCTGTAATGAATCAAGGATACGAGTTTCCGATTGAAGAGATCGTTAAACGAGAAACATTTTTTGTCCTTGCATTTATTTTATTTTTCTAGTTTCTTTTTCCAGTCGTTAGTCGCTGTTTTACGATCTTTCGCCTTTGTGCGTTCATCACCAGCGTTTGGTTCATCTATAAGCTTTTAGGATAAGAACAAATAGCTTCGATAACTATTGATTTGCTTGATGATTCCAGAACAAGAAAATGGAATTATATTAAATATTTGCAGCACACGTATATATCTACATATACTATGTAATATCTGCAGAATGGAATCTGGGCAATTACGTCACAGATGAAGAAAAATGTCTTTCAGGTGACCAAAATGTGATTCTATTGAAGAATGATAATAATGTTATAGACAGAGCACGCAACGAAATAGTTTTAAAGGGATAAAGAAATTGCTGCTAATAATCAGGAGACAGCTGAAATTTTGGTAGACAAAATTAGAAAGAACACCCGAAGAGTTTAAAACTCAGGAAAAATGAAAAAAAAAAGTCAATCAATGGAAAGCAGCAAGTAACAAACCTGACAAAGACAAGAAACCCATAAAAAGAGCAAGTGTTGCCGAGGGAAAACAAAGGAAAGGAAGATGTGGAGAACCTCTATCGCCAACCTCTTGAAAGGACATGGCGCATAGAAAGAGAAAATCTAAGCTTGAACAAATGGGTGAAAGAAGAAAGACGATGAAGAGAAAGCAGAGGTATTACAAAGGGCAATAAAAGACAGGAAGACGTGGAGAGCCACGATCTCTCAGCTCCAAAAGGGACTTGACAAATAGAAAGCGAAAATCAAGTTTAAGAAAATGGATGAAAGAAAAAAGACGACGAAGACAAAGCCGAGTTATGCACGAGAAGGTATTGCAGAGGGTAATAAAAGACAGGAAGATGTGGAGAACCATAATGGCCCAACTCCAAAATGGATATGACAAACAGAAAATAGAAAATCTACTTAACAATTTTGAGAAAATGGATGAAACAATAAAGACGACGAAGCCAAAGCCGAGGTAATGCGGAGAGTAATAAAAAAACAGGAAGATGTGGAGAACCATAATCACCCAACTCCAAAAGGGATATGACACACACAAACAGCCGGCTTCTGCATGAGAAGGTCACTGTGTCGTACCAGAAAATCTTTCTCGTCAGAATTCATCTTGCCTATTTACAAATCTAACATTCATTCATGCATTGAATATTGTCGTCATATCTGGGCTGGTGCCCCTGCTGTTCATCACGAGATTTTTGACAAAATCTAAAGAAGGATCCGTAATGGCGATCATAAGCTGGGGTTTCGACACTTTCTCACCGACGTGACGTGGCTTCTCTTTGTCTTTTCTACAAATATTTCCAGGGCAATTGCTCTGACGAGCTTTTATTCTGGTACCCCGACTACATGAATTTAAGTGTGTTACTAGATTGGCATCTAAGTCCCACCCGTTTAATATTGATATGTCTAGATGCAACTGACACTTCTGCTCCAACAGTTTCTTTTCTCGCACTTCCCGCTTGTTGAAATCCTTTCCGTTTCCTTGCTTCCTTGATAACTACAATCTTTAAAAAAATTAAATGCAATGCCAATTGCGAAATTCTATCTCCTTAAACCTTGTTCATCTTTTATCCTTTCCTCAATTTAACCCTCACCGACGTCCTTCATTATTAAAGCTGTCTGCCAAACTTAGCAAAGCTTCGCAAATGCCTACAACGTGCTTGAGATTTAATATCGTTTGGTTCACCAGCATCAGATTAATTCCCTGTTTAATCTCCTGCTTTTCAAAAGTTCGCTTATGTCATTTGGGTTTTAACGAAATACAAAATTAGGTTTTTTCCTCACTATCCAAAATGACGTAAGGCGGATAAGCAATTACTATTAATTAATACAGGGTAACTTTTTGAGCGTTCCCAAATCCAAAACTTAGTGTATTTCTTTCAGTCTTGGTGTCGCATGTCAAGATTTGTTAAGATGTAGTTGGGGTGGAAGGTTTAAAATTTGACATGATACTTGACTGATTTAATCGCATGCATTTTTAATGTTATTCTTTATAAGCAGTCAATCCATCCCAAAAATCTAAACTAAAATTAAGGGCTAAATAAAGTCATATTTTTTCAACAATTATAGCACTGTCAATTGTAGAGAAAAAGATCTCTGATTATTTGGTAGTTCTGAGAACGCTCGAAAAATTTCTCCGCATAAATTAAAGATAACTGCCTCTTCTTTTACACAATGTCGACTTACGAAACGTTTCCTTGAATTTTACTTTGACGAAAAGACATGACATAGCTCAGAATTCGAAACGAGCGCGAACGTGTCTTGCCTGCAAAGTGATGACAAAAAGAAATATGGCCGCTATTGAAGACGCGATTTATGCGCGCCTATCTCGTCAAAAAAAACGTTTCGTAAGACGATATTTGCAGTTACTTTAATTTATGCAAATTTTGGCCGTATTGTTGGAATAGCATAAAAATTTTGGGATGGGGTGCCAGCAGCACGAAACCTTCCACCCCAAACCGAAGTCATTCGGCGGACAGCG